TTAAAATTAGAGTTAATATCTCTAACATTTTTCTTATTATAAATTTAACAGTTAAAAGCATAATCATATTAATAGTGTTTTTTAATCTTTTTGTAGAATACTCGGAATTATCCTCTTGAAAAGTATGAATTTACAACTCCCTCAAACAATTTCATATACTTTCAATACGTATAGAGCTCAGTGCAACAATTAATATATCAAACAAAGCATAATACTAGAGAATATCTTATCTAATCAATTAATAATCATATCAAATCTTATGCACTAAACTTAATTAACTCTTTTCAGCACAAAAGAAAAAACTAATTAATTAACTCTTATTGCGAAGATTTTATATAATAATAATAATATTAATTTATTATTATTATTATTATTATTATGCTAAGGTCTATAGTATAAAACAGTGATGTTACAGATCGAATATAATATCTTCAGTCTTTATGGGTCCGTTTGGAACTCTTTTAAGAATCATTTTTCACTTTTTTTAAATACTCAAAAATGAAAATGTCATAGCAAAAACAAAAAAGAAAACGTTTTCTAGTCACTCCCAAAAAGCATCCACATCTAAAAACGAATAGAATTTGTTTTCCTTTTCTCAATTCTATTTTTTATTTTCTTGATTGGTATTTCTGTGATTTTTTTTTTCTGTTTGCTGATGCTTTGGGGAAATGGCTAGTTCAGGATAAAACCTTTCTATAGAATCCTATTTCTGAAAATTGGCTCTTGACAGTTTTGCATTTATCACGGAGAAATTTTTTTTTTTTTAAATTTTATTTATATTTATTTACCATAAATTTGTAATGTACTAAAAAAAAATATTCGTAGGAGGCATGCTTGGGACCTTTAATTACTAGGCAATTGATTGGGGATTGTATTAATTACTTAATATATTATTTAAAGTACTATTACATATTTTCAAAAATGTAAAATCAAACGCAGTTTTAATTTTTTTCTTGGATTGAAAACAATCTCAGAATGAAATAACCAAACGTATTTTCAGAAACGATTCCTACCTGAGATTGAAAATGTTTTCATTTCCGTTTTCATACAAAAAATAAAATCACTTTGGAACGGATTCCAAACGTGTTTTATGTCATCTACAACTAGCTAGCTTGTATCAGAATTTGATTTAGATATGTTGCATATGTCCAAATCTTTATCTGTTTATTTGCAAAGTCCTAAGCATATGCGTTTCTAGGAAAATAAAGAGCAATCTCTAGGTATTAGTATAGGCACACATCTTACAAGTTCTTCCATTTGTGCTCTGAAGTTCTCTCTTCGTATGCTTTTTTTTTGTTCCTAAACATATCTATACGTTATAAGTTTGTAGTTTTTCTACTGAGGAACTATATATAATTCAAATAACTAAAAGTTCTTTTTTCCCCTATTTACAGTCATAACACGCATATAATAATAATAATTTTTTTTTTTTTTTTTTTTTTTTGACAAAGCAGCAACACAATAGGGTTACTTAAAGAGAAGAAAAATTAGTGGACCGAATGAGTTAGAGGATATATATTATATAAGATAGTAGTGTAGTTATACTATTACAAACTCATTCTCCATTTCATTTACATAATTGCACATTCTCTAAACCTAGGCTAAAAAGCAAGTTATCAGAACAAGAATAATAATTGTTAATTTATGATTACCAAGATGAGGAAGGAAAAAGCAACAGAAAAAAAAAAAAAGAGGCAAAGAAAGACACGACACCAAGGCATGCAACTCTGGAAATGGAAGGATCTTTCTTTCCATATCTTTAAAATTTTGTTCCCCACAGAGACATAATTATTATGCGTTTGTCATGCTTTTCTTTCGTTATAATTATATATCATATATTATTAATCATAATCATCATATCATCACCATCATGCATCCTATGTCCCTTTTCTCAACCTGGGATGCTTTGTGATGTTTCGAAAAAACGAGACAATGCCTGCCTAAATATTGCGTTTAACTGACTATAATGACAATGATGATCACACACTTTCATTTATCAACCCAAAAAGAAACTACTTTTGATTATGTTCTTCAAGCGTGACGAGTAGTATTTAAGTTAGGACAAACATATACAAAAATAAATACGTATGCCAATAATATATTTGTATTATATTCTACCTACGTATGTGCTAACTCACGCATTTTTCAAACATTTTCTATAAAGGTTAATTCTTTAATAATTATGCATTTCAAAGTTTGAGGTGGTGATTGATAATTAACGTGATTTACGTTGATTGAAAAGTTGAGAAAATAATAATAATAGTATCCTATGTATATATATATATATATGTAATATTTTATCATCATATGCAATTTGTTAATAGATTTTTTTTCCTGCTAAATATGCAATTCCTTAATAGTTGATAATAAGTAGACCATTGATGTTTAGAGATTTTTGTTGGTAGAAGAATGAAGATTAATCACCAACAAGTGAGTGATTTTCACGTCTGAAATAACAGTTCAAACTTTTAGCTGAAGACAAAAAGGAAAAAAAAAAAAAAAGAATTATATTACAGTTCAAATGGTTGGAAAAAGGCATGCAATGTTTATATAATAACCGTGTAAATTTACTTTTCCCGTTTTGTTTACTTTTCAGTTTTCAATAATAATAACGTCAATTTCTTACTTATTAGTGTCATAACTACCAGTACGAATTCCAGATGATCTAAATTAAATGTTCTTTTTTTGGTTTCTTTGGTTGGACTGTCTTGTTCTCTTTCTGGTTGTGGTAATGAAATTCCAAATATATATATATATATATATATATAAACAAAAATAGAAAGAAAGAAAGAAAACTCAAAATTTCCATTACAATTAAACTAAAATAACAGCAAATACAAGAACATATACAGCTTAAATGTCAATATTAACTCTTTCTAAGTGAACAAAATAACAAGGAGAGTTAAGAAAAAGAAAAAGTTAAATCCAATTTTTTTTGTCAAATAAGTGTTCATCAAATAACAATAGATTACTATGTATAGGATTGAAATTTGTAATAAGGACATGATCATATGGGGGACAAACATTGGGACAAAACAAAGATGAAAAAGTATAATGTTTTATAGTGATGATGAGGATTATTGACCAGAAGACAAGTTGATATAAAGCGAAATGGCTTGAGATATACTCTCTCTCGTGTGCTCAATCATAGTTTTAGCGTCTCCCCATCATTTCGCCACACTCCATTCCACCTTTCTCATCACACTTTCCATGCTTCATGACCACCATCATATCAATCGACTACACAAAACACAAAAAAAAAAAAAAAAGCTGATGAATGTTACAGACAATATGACGTGTTTTGTGGGTGTTTCACTCTCCATCCAATAATGAATGTCATGAAAACTCAAAATTAACAATAAATAATTTTCACATAAAATCTCACGCTTTTGGTTTCAAGAATAGTTTGGTTTGGGCTTATATCTTCCTACTTCTTATGCCATTTTCTTGGGCCGGGTACATTGATAAGCTGGGCTCTATCTCTAGAGAAGGTGTATATTAGATTTAGATTGGGTACACTTTTGAAATCTAATTATTCACCATATATTTTCATGTGTAAATAAAGCTTATTTTCCACAAAACTGATGATTTAAAAACCAACTCTCTACAAATGATGTTCCACTAATTCAAATGATAACCCGTCAATGACAACACTAGTGGTCTCCGAAGAGCCTCGTACCAAATAGAGATAGGAGGCTTCCAAGTCCGCTCTCCATTCTTTATGGTGCATATTTTATAGAGTTAGGGTGGGAAAATCCTGTCCCACCCCCTTCGTACCTATGCGCATGTTAGAGAAGTAGGCCTAAAGATGCGCCCCTTGTACGACTTTGACGGCTTTAAGAGCCTGCAGGAAACCTTTGGCTGAGCACTTGACCGATGCGTAGCCATGAAGTGGTCGGCCGTAGGATGGTCAACAATAAAACGCGTTTGAGGAGGAGGTTGGCCAGTTAGTAGTTTATGAGGAAGTGGTTGGCCATGAATGGCTCAGCCCCGGAGGGATGGGTAGTGCCGGTTGGTGATTAGGTGCTCCGCTATGTCCTCGGCAACTCCGTTACCAGCCTAGTGTTCCTACTGGTCTCTCTAACTTTTAGTGCTGTTGAGCGGACCACCTAAAGTGTAAGTTGAGCCAAAAAGCGGGGGAAAAAAAAATCCTAACCCAAAAAAAAAAAAAAAAAAAAAAACCGTAGATCGTCATCTGAAAGGAGGAAAAAAAAAGTACAAACCAAAGATCGTTCCACTTCGATTTAAGATTCTAAATGAAAGGATATGTGTATATACTTTTTGGTGACATATGTATGTATATAGTTACCAAACATTAAAAGCAACGAGAAAAAGTTAATAAAATTTTGATCAATGCTGTTAAAAGCTTTTACTCTAGTCTCGACCGCTTCTGAAAGAAGAGCAATATTAAAGTAACATTTTTTTTTTGTGCATGTACTAAACTAACATTTCAAGTTCGCATAAAGATAGAGTTGCAAAAAGCTTACTGGTTTTCCCTGCAAAGAGCTTACTGGTTTTCGCTGCAAAGAGCATTCGATAAACTAACCCGATTTTTTATAGGTTAGAACTACAGCTCAAACTTTTTGTTACAGTATTTTCTCTTAAAAAAAATTCTATTCAAACTTTTTAGTGAAACCCATGAACCAAACGAGCAAATTAATATAAAGGTCAACACAGGTTCAATGAAGTGCACAGACAAATGAGACAAGACAGAAGAAAGTAGGAAGAAGAGAGGATAAAAATTGTATGCACTTGTTTCTTTCTCAATCTAAGAAGGGGACATAGAGTAGGGGACATTCAATAGTATTCTCATTTTAGCTTTGTTTGTTAAAATGGAAAGAGGAGAATATAATGCCGAACTAACAAATTAAACACAAAACATAACATTTTCGTCGAAACAAATACTCTTCAATAAAAGCTGCATACCATACTATGGCTGTTTTCCTTTTACCTTAAAAACAACAGCAGTTAAGAAAAATTGAAAACCAAACCCCAAGCAATTAATAAGAATTTTCCATCACCAGATTGAGATGATAAAGGAAAAAGGGAACTCATTGAAAATTATAAGTGTACTTCAGATAAATGAAGTTCAGGAGATTATGTACAGTGAAAACCGATGAACCAACCTAGTCGTTTTACACAACGATTTTCGTAGATAAATTGGAAGCATACGGCACTAGAAAGCGGAGACATATTTGAACCAAATACTGAAAGCGGAAAGCTCTAAGAGCTCCATAATCACCTCATGGAAGTTGATGCTTGTCTCCAAAAAACAGTAATTTCCCACAGTAGCAACATAAAGGAACAAAGAAAAGACTTTGGAAACATAAAGATGTCCAAATTACCATTGCTAAAAGATACGCTTTTCAGTTTAATCGTCTCCTTCTTGGTGCTCGAGAATCACCGGTATCCACGTCTGAAACCCTCGAAGCATCGCTTCTTCTTCTGGAAGATGAAGTGGAAAGTGACACCATTGAATCAATTTCTGCAGCAGTGTCTATTTGAGACTCCGAATTTATTACAGCAGCAATGCTGGAAAAAGAATCTCTATCATCGACTGGAGGAGGCTGCTCCTGGTTCCTACCAGTAGTCTGGCTCCGAAATGCCTCAACTAAAAGTGCAGATGACAGAGATGGTAGCCCTGATCTCGGTGATTGTGTTCTTCGAAGTAACAGGGAATGAATCCGCCGGCTATCTCCCACCTCAGCGGAAACCACACTAGTTTGGTTCAAGTCCACAACATCATCTGCAGGTGCCACTGGATTTTGCTCTCTACGTAATCCTCTGGCTGTTAAGATCCTATTTAACAAGGAATTTGTTCTTTCTGCTGTTTCCCGAGCACTCTCTGGTTCCTGTGACTGAAGAAAATCTCGGGGTAACTCAAATCTACTCCCAAGACGCCGAATCATCTCTTCCACTGGCAAACTGAACGCATTTCTCTGAATAGTTTGTCTCAAACTCTCCACTCGCCGTGCATGTGGCCTACTGGGGATCTTAAGACTCAAGTCCTCTTCTGGCTCGCGTTTATGGCTCCCACGACCATAAATTGGGGTCACTTGCTTGAGAGTTACCTCTCCCTTGCACACAGGGCATTCCTTGGCCTCTGAATGCAGATGCAACCATCGATAAAGACACGGCCAACAGAACAAATGACCACAGCATGTTACAACAGGGTTCCTAGCCAAGTCCAAACAGATATTGCAATCAAAAAAGCTTCCATCACTGCCGTTACCCTTGTCAGTCTCATCCTTATTCTCTGAATCTTCTTCTTCCAAAAACCCATTGTTATTTTCGCATGTCTTGGGCAACTCATTTGTTCTTACTTCTGCATCAACACTACCCTCACCTGCCTGCAATGTACTTGCAGTACTGGAATTGACCATCAAGTGATTCAACTCCATCGATAAGTTCTGAGTGTCGGGCGGTATCTGAAACCGACGCCATCTCGACCGTCGGGAAGCCCCGATCCTTACAGCTTCCCTAATCCTATTGATAGGGTTATCAACCCAAGAATCCAAATTCATAGGCTCATTCGATAATATCGGCTCAGGACCAGGACTCAGGTTCAAATCAAGATTCATCGCGTCAGAAGTCTCCTCACCCATCACAAATTGGCCAAGCCCAGGTTCCAAAAAAGGCTTATTGGATTGGAGGTTCAACAAACTAGACGAAAACCCCCCGCAACATCATCACAGAATTGAAGAGATTCACATCAGAAAAAAAAAACCCAATTTACTCCAAAATCGAACAAGAAACAGACAAATACCTAATTTTGCCCAAGAATCAAAGAACCGCAAATCACAAAAACCTATTTTTTTTATCTCACAAACGACAGAATGCAATCCAAATCGAAAACTCAGAAAGCAGGCACAGAATTAAAGAACCCCATATGAGAAAACCCTAAATTTGACATAAATTCAGCAAACCCAAGAAAAAAAAAACCCTAGTCAGAACACGTAAATCAGGAAATCAAGCTAGGTTTTTCGTCGCTACAAAGAATTTCCCTTCGCATCGATATATACTTTTCAAAGAAACTAACTTGGAACAAAAATTGACGATTGAATTTAGGGAAAAATAGAAGAACACCTGGCGCTGTGACCGCAATTGCTCTGAGTGAGAAGCGAGTTATCTGAGTCAGAGCGGAGTCGGAATCGCCATGGAAGGTTTCAGCTTCCGATCAAAGATCTACGAGAGCGAAGGAGATTGGGTTTTAGGCCAATTTGTTGAAACGAGTTGTTTCGACTTCCTTTCTAAGCCGAGAGAGAGAGAGAGAGAGGGAGAGAGAGAGGGGGAGAGAGGGATAAGAGAGAGAAGGCGATCGTATCCGTTCGTATATAAGTTTCGGTTCAGAACGTGGTGATCGTAGCAGTGGTTCTGATTGAAAGTATGGCCCACAAGTTCTCTGTCTTTGGACCCACCCATGCTTCATGGTAATCACGTGGCACGTGTTGAGTTCCATTTCCACATCTGGTCCATCCAATTAAGTCTCCTTTCCCCTCCACCGAATTAGGTCCGTTGGATGTATATTATTTTCCACGGGAGATATGATGCTTTATTATTATTTTTAGTTATTTTCATTTTAATAAAATACAATTCAGGATCTAGAGATGGCATTTTGTGGGCATGGCTGCCTGGCTACCTGCGCGTCAGAGTTATAAATTTGGGCCGGTTCGAAGCCCAATTTTTTGGAGCTTTAAAGGGAAGTGCCATAGATTTTAGGGTTGGGTTTATGTATGTGAGGGAACATTCACTGTTATAATCATCACACTGAATATTAAATATACCTTTAGGATACGGCCGGTATCCAGCAACCAGATGGTTACCGACTAGTATCTACCGGTAACCACTGTTACCGACGGTCGACCGGTATCCACCATTGCCCATGGTACCACTGGAACAAACCGATAACCATAACCATCGGTATCTTGGCCAGAAACCACCATAATCTGGCCGGTAACCAACGGTATCCGGGCGGTAACTATTAGTATCTCGCCGGTAACCAACGGTGTCGGGGCGGTAACTATTAGTATCTGAGTCGGTAACCAATAGTATCTTGACGGGAACACCATAGTTGGCGGTAGTACAGCCGCCATCGTTGCCGGAATACCAAAAAATTCAGTAAATTTACAACAATCCACTAAAATTATAACAAATACAACAAAAATAAGGAAAAATAAGGAAAAGAAAAAGGTCCGGCTTTCGATTTGGAGATCTCCTCCACGGCCACTGCGCGACGGATATCTCCATTTGGATCTCTTCCGCACAGAGATCTTCGGATCTCTTCCGTCATGACGGAGATCTCCCGATCTCCATCATTGCAGTGGAGGAGATCTCCGGAGCACCTCTGTGCGCAGTCGGATCTTCGTCATGACTGGAGGAGATCTCCCCAAATCTCCTTTGAGTGATTGAGGCGCGACGCAGCACCCAGTCCGATGTAGATCTTCTCTTCACGACGGCAGCGCCGATGTTCTTAAGACGATGACGACGTGGATCTCCTCGACTTCCGTGCGACGGCTGCAATGGGGGAGAGATCTCCCCGTGCGCAGGAGGGACTTCGCGTGGATCTTCTCGAGAGATCTCCCCGACGGAGGAAGCAGAGAGGAGGCGGGAAGCTTCGTGCCAAATCGGAGGATGTCGCCGGTGAGGGAGAAGAAGCTTAACGGCTGGAAGAGAGAAGAAGCTTAACGGCTGGAAGAGTGTGTGTGTGTGTGTGTGAGACGCTGGGAAGTGAGAGGGAGAAAGGATTGGCAGTTGGGAAGTGAGAAAGAAAGAAAAAAGATGGCCGTGTTTGGAATAGAATTAAAAAATAAAAAATAACTTTTAATCGTTTTTTTATTTTTTATTTTTATTTTCTTCTCTCTTGAGTAGAGAGAAAAACAGAGATATTAATGAATTTTTTATGTTGAAAATAATTTTTTAATAAAATTACTAAATGTATTTTCAAAAATGATTTCTGTCTGAAATTAAAAACGTTTTCATTTTTATTTTCATACATAAAATAAAATTATTTTAGAATGAGTTCTAAACGGGCCTGATATTTTGGTCAGCACATAGTTAAAATGATGTCACTGTGGCAGATTTTCCATTAGTTTTAGTCCCTACTGCAAATCTCAATCAACCTCTGAAAACTATGTGATGTAGCATAAATATCACCGCATTAGTGCTGACAATATGGGTCACAACACGACAACACGACTCGAAAACGACACGAATTTTGTGGGTTAGAGTTGAGAAAAAAGAGTTTCAAGTCAGAATTAGGTCGACCTGAAATTGACACAAAAAACACGGGTCAATTTCAGGTTGGACCTGTCTAATCTGAAAACGACACAAAATTCGTAAAAAATTAAAAAAATACATATATTTTTCATTACATAGTTTTGATTTTATTATGAACTTGTGATATCATGATAGTTATACTCAAAATTTTATACCATTATTTGCTTAATTTCAATGGATGTTATTGTAATTTAGTGTGTTATACATTTTAAGTTATTTCTAATATGTAAAAAACTAAATAAAAGTATACAATTTTCGTATCAATTTCGGGTTCACAGGCCAATTTCGTGTCACAAGTCATTTTTGTGTCATGTCGTGTCGACCCGTAAAGTGGCCGTGTCGTGTTCGTGCTGCTGTTTTTAAAAAATTTCATGTCACGAGTCGTGTTCTGATTGATTATAAATTTTAAAAGAAACGATCAAAACACGACACAAATACGATACGTGATACGAATTACCACTCCTACACGGTACAGTCTGCCCAGTTCGATTAAATATTGAGTTAATTATATATATATATATCTACTTTACTATCTACAAGTTGTTATCTCTATAAAATAAATTGTAATAAAATTTCTATCCTTAATTAATTATTTTTTAAAATCCATTATACAAATTAAAAACCACTTACATATAAAACGTATATTTATATTATATCAGTAATCATAAAAATGGACATATTGATAATATTATTAAATTGAAGACATATTCTAAACATGAATCGTAAATATGATCATTTTGTATAAATATACTTCTTCAACATTTAGTTCGGGCCAAACCAAAGATTTAAGCCCAAAATGTATTCAAGTTAAATCAGATTAGTATTTGAGTCAATTATAAGTTTCACCATTGTTTATCCACACTCTATTATTTATACCAATCATAAAATTTTAATACTACTACAGAAAATAACTTGTAAGATACGACGTGATAACCTGTGGGTTATGAAAAATAACTCGCAGGTTATGAAAGATAACCTGCAGGTTATTAGTGACATAAGAGAACTTTAACAAAAGTTGTAGAAATAAAATATTGTTACTTTATTGATGGCATTTTTAAAAATTCTCCTTTGTATTTTTAAAATTTTTTTATGTTTTTTATAAAAAAAAGGACGAGCTCAATCCATGCAAGTTTTTAGGTCGGGTTGGGCCAATCATATTCTCAAGTGTACCGGACCCAACCTAATCATTTTTTTTCCCGATACGGCACAAACAACTCGAATTTACACCTTTACTATGAGTATTCGCTTAATAAAGAGATATGAGAAAATTCTTGAGCTTACCTTTAGAGTATATATGTCTATATTTTTACCTTTTACTCTTGATTGATACCCTTTTGACTAATATAGTTATTTGATTAAAAATAATATTAATCAAGAATAAGAAGTAAAAATTCATACCCATACACTCAAAAAGAGTATTCGTTTCCTTTCCCCTAAGGATAAGAAAGAGCACGGAAGTTAAAAGTAACCCCCGAGTCTGAGTTGGTGTGGAAGTGGGTGAGCTCCATTGCTCCCGCTCATACACTGCTACACATATACACACACACAAATACATGTGTTATAAAATACATATGGAGTCTACTGTAGAGGTAAAAAAGAGGGTAGAGTTTCTAGTGGGAAATCGTTGTTAGGATTTTTATTAGTCGATAATTTATTAGTAATTAGTTGTAAAAATTTAAAAACAGATTTCAAGATAAATTCGGATTGCAGATCAAGATTCAAGATATAATTTGGAATTGAAGATGAAGTTTTTGTGGAGCATTTGAATTGATGTTTATCCGTTTTTGAAGAGTTCTCCTTTGAAAGATAAGGAAGTTGAATCTGCATTTGAGAAGATATTTTGTTTGAAGATGTTGCGTCATCCGAATTTTAATTTGAGAAGATATTTTGTTGGAAGATCAAATTTGGAGCAAATTTCGTGGAGCATTTGATTCGGATTTTATGTGGATGTCTTTCAGATTCAGTGATGCATTTGAATCAGATTTGCGCGGATTTTATAGTGTATTTGAATTGCTACTTGATCTGGATTTTAGAAGCTTTAAACGTGAAGATAAGATTCTAGAAGGAGAATCAAATTCGAATTTGAATGGGATATATCTTGCGTGTGAAGATCAAGTTAGTTCAAATTTGGTTTGGTGATGCATAATCCGAATAAGATTAGGAGGATATTTAAATTCAAGATAAGTTCATCTACAAAGGGTATGGAGGATATTGAAAAGATGAAGTAAAGATATTCTGAGCTTATTTAGGAAGAGAGAATCATGTAGATAGAGGTGTATCAAGTTTGAATTTGAAGTGGATTCTCGTGAAGCCTCATAAGCGCTATTTAAAGGCTTCATCTCAACTCACAAAGGATATGGATTTAATAGAAAATATTCAGGGCAAAGTTTGCATGACGACCCTCTTACGTGGCCGTCAACTTTATTATATTTAACATATTCTTAGACTTAAATGATTTGAAATAGCGGAATAATTTTTTTTTTAAATAAATACTTAAAACATAAGAAAGAATAATTTCATAAATCGTAATAATAATTTTCTTAAAATGAAATATTAAATTTCTTAAAACTTTTCTTAATTTCAACTAAAATAAAACATTCTAAGATATCTTTGAAACTAAATAGCATTTAAACTCTTGTTTTAAATACTCTTTAAAAGCCTTTTTAAAACTAGCTAATTTAATTGAACCATCTAATATAATTATAAACCGGATTTCACGGGAAATCTTAAATTCAAGAACTTCTTAAAGTCTTTCCAAAATCAATAATTTAAATCGTCGTATCTAGAAATTCATATATTTGTTACATGGATTGTCGCAACATTTTAAAACTCAAATACTCAAGACCAAGGTTGTTAGTTACAACCTTGGTTCTCTTTAACATACATACATATGTACATATACTTTTCAAACATACATGCTTGAAACCTTTGAATTATATATATATATATATTTGTATATATATATATATATACACATTTTATTTCTAAACCGGTTGAGGAAGATTTAAG